TCTATCCATATTTGATATACGGCAACTTAACATGGGGTAATACTTATAAAAGTCGAATCCAAAAAATAATAAACATACAAAAAAAAATTGTACGTCTAATGACTTTCAAGTCTTATTTAGAGCACAGTGAGCCAATTTTCAAAGATTTAAATATCCTAGACATTTTCAAAATCAATGACTATTTAACTGCCTTATTTATGTTTCGATACCACCACCTTAACAATTTACCAGATTTCTTTAAAAATTATTTTGTAACAAACAACCAAATTCATGAACATAACACGAGAAATGCATAAAAAACTTCACAAATGTTATAAAAGAACAAATTATGTAAAACACACTCTCTCAAATAAAGGAGTTGATGTATGGAATTTGTTAGAAACAAAACTTAATGAAGTAAACTCCTATAACACCTTTAAAAAGAAAATTAAACAACATTTTTTGCTATACACAATTACCAATATATAAAACATACTTCTCTAATGTATATAATGACATATACTTTAGTCTATTGTAGCCCAACATTGTCATTGTAAAATTAAATGCATCTACAACATTACTATTAATTTATATAATACGAACATTCCCACTTCTTTTTCTCTCTTGTAAATATAGTGTATATACTTCAAAACTTTCTGATTTTAAATATTATGTATTGATTGACTGTAAATAATCGATTATATGATAAAACGAACAGTAACTAGAGACCTAAAATAAAAAGTCTATGAAGATTTCTAGTAGGTCTCTAGCCCAACATCTTCAAATTATTGTAATATATTTTAAGTAGATTTTTATACATGGGAAAATAAATAAAAAAAAAAAAAAAAGAAAAAAAAGTATATCATTTCACGTCCCACAAGCGAAAGAGCAGATACCTAGTCCTCGTGCGCCGAATGATAGATATACTCTTACCTAATCGTAGAGTTTGACGGGCTCTGTGGTACACGGCTGTACTGTAGTCTCTTTCTCGACCAAGAGACGTACAGCGTTTTCTAGTCGAAAAGAAGATGTATGGGTTTTGCGTTTTCTTGCAAATTCAAGCCCAGAATTTAAGATTATGTCAGGTCTTGAATTGAAAAAGGAAAATCCGGTACGGGTCTTACATTCTTGTGTAACAACCGGGTAACCGGTTATTACTTTTTCGTAATAACCTGGTACCCTGCACTTCCCCCGGAGAAATCAAATACCACCGCCTGTTTTTAGATTAATTGAAGGTTATTACGGATAAGTTAAAAACCGACGAAATACAAAATAATAATATGATAACTAGCGCGTCTTCAATAAACGCAAATAGTACGTTTGTTTTCTCAACAATAGTGATTTCCCAAACTTATTGTTTGCGGTGATAGTTAAGTAAAACCCAACATAAAGTTACATAATATATATTTGTGTTAATATGACAATATGCGTATTTGCTATTGAAGTGACCCTCTCTATACAGCGGAATAAATTGCGTGTTATAAGAAAGAAACTTTATTCAAACAAATATGTTATGTGTTATGCACAAATTTAAAACCCGTCACCTGCACAACTATGATGAAGTCTTCATCGCCGAAAATCAAAATTCAACTTTGAACTATCTTACAGTTTGGTACGCTATTCGGTGGCTACAACGTTCACTTGATGTGACGCTTACAAATCACAAGCACGTATCAAATGTCAGTATAGTGATACAAAATATTTATGATTTCACTGCAACTTCCATGTTTTGTAACTTGAGATTTAGTTGACGCGCTAAGCGATAATTAAATTTAATTTAATTAACACGATATTTGTTATTGTCGCGCAAATAACAAACTCGTTTTTACTATTGGCGCTAACTGCCAGGCAAACTTCAAGAATTAATACTTTACTCAGTTATATATGTGTACTTTTACAGCGAAGCATTGACGCCTTGTAATAAATCGTAAGCTCTAGATCAATATTGATTACTTCAAACTCTAAAAATATTTCACACGCAATTTTATATCCAACATGAGACAGTCTATAGTATAATAATAGAAGATAGAGATGATTTCTGTCACAAAAACACAGGTTTTTCATTGCGCTTTGACAAAACTATTCCTGCGATTTACAAATCAAGCATAAAACTAAACATATCGCGTCATAAACGCAAGAAAATCCGTTTTACATCATAAACTTTCGTAGTTTGAACTAGTTTCCACGAATTGTATGAATGGCTGTCTTGGCATGACCATGACCATAAGTCAAATTCGAAAAACAAATCAAAATACAGAATACTTACGAAATGTTAACTTCGACGTCGTTATTAACTTTGAGGGAAAGAGGACTGCATGCTTCGTGCTCACATGTTTTATACAGTGAGCGAATGACGAAAGCCTCCGGATGTTATATCGGAGATGGTCGTATGAACAGCCGAATGTTCGACCTGTCATCAATTTACGAAGCTTTCCGAATTAAAAATTATTAATATTAATAAATATTTGAAAATTATTAGGTAACTTAAAATTTTATAGAATTATTGCACACTCCATTAAATCACAGTTAATTAAATGTATTCGTTCTTTCCTGCAGACTGCAGGACCAGAAATTATTCTCGTTGAACCAGAGGCTTTCCCCTCTCTGGGTTAATATTTCAGACTACGTGACAAACACACAAACATAATTAAGTACATATGTACAATTGGATCAAAGCTTTAAAATAATCATATTTACATAACAGGAAGCTGTTAAAAGTGCGTAGTATATTCAATAGCTTGGTGTGATGTCAATTTGCGTGTTTTGTAAATAGGATTATTCTTAAGCTTTCATCCACTTTACATCAATATTGATGTTCGAGTTAGCGGATCAAAAATAATTTGATTTCCGTTATGATTACTCATATTGTATACGGGATCATTTCAAATATAAAAACATACACATTTTAGTAAGTTTTTATAAGATGGGAAATATGTATTATACTAGACTAACTACAAAAAACCACTAAACATCAAATTTCACCCTCTGATTTTAAAATCCTTTCCACTGCTAGTTCTGAAGCAGATTTACTCATTCGCGAAAGCCTTTTCATATCCAAGCTTAATCCTACTTTAAATGCCAACATTAGGTCAACTCCTCTTGACCTATTCTAATACTTTGCTAGCTGGTCTCTAATTACTAACCATATATTAGTATCTTTAATTAATTTACTAATGACAGGTTGTTTTTCATCCTTCCTCTTATTCGCTTAAATATTTGAATACTGTAACCGTTTGAAACTATTTGTATATATATAATACACGCTTGTAAATAAGTTTAATTGCTCTGAAGATGTTATGAACAATACAACGAAACGTTAGCCAATAAATTTTATATTTTGTTATGTTTTGTCTGAAAGTCATTTGCTGGGCTTTAATTTTCATTTTTAAATTATACTAGACTAGACAAAATCTGTGTTATTTAATTGATACAGAAATAAAAAATAAAAGCCTCAATTAAAAGCCTTTGAATAATAGCCTTATAGCCCAATACGTGTAAAAATGTTATCTAGCTTGTTCGTACTAGTAAACTTTTTCTTTGGGCGGATTTGTAAAATATAGTTTCAAATGTGATGTATGGCAGTTCACGTAGATATACTACCCTGGAGGTTGTTTTGGTCGTAGCTTTAGACTTTAGAGATAAAGTCAAGACTGAACAATGCCACATACGGCTGGATCAATATAATCTTTGCAAATCAGGTCTTCTTGATTGCAGAAATAAATAATCGTGTCCGTGAAATTTACTTGAGCATATCCTGTGCAAGGATATCAAGTATACCATTATATGTACCGTTATCATGAATTACAGTATTATCATTATCGTTAGTTTTGGCGATATCCAACATATTAAAAAGCCGTTTTATCCCAACTTTCGAGTTTCGACGACGCAGATTTGTCACTCAAGTTTGCATTCACGGCTCAAATATTTTTCCTTTGTCGTGCTGCAGTACTACATGGCGGAAATTATGCCAGAGTCTCATTGTCCTGACTGACAGCACTGATCGATGGCCACAAGTGCAACATCAGCCAAGTTATGAAAGGTTAGTCTGTTGCGCAGGTTAGTCATTGCGCAGCTATGATAGGTTAGTCTGTTGATTTTAAATTTTCAAACCATATCGATCGCAGTTGTGAAAATTATTGGACATGCAGAGGGACAGTGTAAAGTAATTACTTTGTAACTGTATAACTAGTTACTTTTATTCCATTGCAACTTGTATCGGTAACCAGTTACAATTTTCATGATGTAACGGTGATTCTAACTGCAACAAGTAACAACAATTATGTAGTAACTTTTACAGCGCTGAAGAGTTCGATTTGTAATCTATCTGACTATCTGACCTATCAATTTTCAACATTTACGTCCGACGAACTCCAAATGAGAGAATACATCAAGTACAAAAGTACGCGGACATCCCACTAAAGCCAGCATCTTTGATTTACGACTTTTAGATAAGAATACAATAAATGACATATCCAGAAGAACGCATAGCATTTGCGTGATCTTTTGCAGGTTTTATATGACACCCTTGACGTTGTAATAGTGGACACTTGAAGACTGACGTACGCGTGCGGCAAGAATGCGTAACGAAAACCACAATGGTGTTTCCGATGACGTTTGTCGAGCAATTTGCGTCCCATCTATCTACAGAAAAATGTCGATAGAAACCCACTTTCTATTGAAGAAATTTAATTAAGTACTTCTAAACTTTTTTCAACTCTAAAAAGTGTTCATAAATTTACAAAATATATCTAAAGTTTTTTATATCCGCTTTAATTTTTCAGAAATTAGCGTTATTTTTTTGTTTCAAGTAAACGTAAAAATGTGTAAATGTATTTTGTCAAAAAGTTGCCCGCCTGAGGTATATGACAATATGAGAATTACAATCACGTAACCCGCATGCGAATCTGGATACATAATGAGCTACAAAAATAAATCACTTGATAGCAAGCTCATGCGCATGCAGACGAACATTACACGCGTTTTTAAGCGTTCGATACGGCTTTCTAATATTGCTAGTGGTCAGTCTCGCAATCTTGTTTTAACACTGGAAGTGTACGATTAGTTTACAGCCAGCGATTAGCCAGCTAAGTTTCCCGATAGCTCGTGTAAGGTTGTGCTTATACACAAAGACGGCCCACGCATCCTTCACGGTTGAAGGCGGCGATCTGCGTGCACAAGTTTGTTTATCTCAAATAAATAATTATCTACCTAAATGCCGCGTTGATGCCAGAGACAGTGGTTGACATACACTGGTTGAAATATCTGACAGACTACCTTCATATTGCCCATGTCACTGTTAGAAATTGACTACTCGATGCGCCATGTTAACCGTATACGAGCAGAGATGTAAATGTAATCAATGTAAATTGCTAATGTGGTTGCAGGATTGCAGCGAGGTAGCGAATAGTTGGGTACATTTATGAGACAGTAGCGATAGTCGATCAGCAGTAAACTACATCAGTTTTTGTCAAGTATAGGAGTGGTTGTATGGCTGACTATATTTTTTCGAAGTACATGCAGTGACTGTTGCAAACTATACTAAAAAGTTTGTGCTGTAGCCAATCCACCCTCACAAAAACAAGAGAATCAAATGCCTACCTGTGAAGAAGAAACTTGTCTGTTGGAGTTGTCCTCTTTGTTTATACCTTCTCAAAAATACATGGTCGAATGGCAATATCGGTAGGAACTAATATTTTATACACTCCCGTAAACGGGAATGAATGATCATTGAGGCATGCAAATGATTATTATTTGGTAAACTGCAGAACCTGATTGGTTTTCATACAATACGAATATGTAGATAAAAGCGAAACGGAAGGGACGGTCCCAGGGGAAACAAGAGGATGATTTACCTCGGGGAAAGACCTCGAACAGACCTCTAACCAGTTGTAGAGGTAGACGGACGAAACATGACTATATAAGCGTAACAAACAGCGAGAAACTGAGAAAAACCGACCACAGAGTGTGGGTGCGAAGCTCGAAGAAGCTGAACGCGGATGCCTCGTTACTATAGCTAACTAGCTCTTCATTATATTTTTTACATTATATATTCATACAACAAAGTGTTATGCATAACAATGCGGGCGTTCTTAATTGCCTGTTCAAAAACTATACCTTTTATTGTGCCAATAAAATACATTTATTTTGTTTGGATCTGATTCTGAGTTATTCATAACCTAACATACTAGTACACTTGTAGTTCTGGTAACGTATTAAATCTTCAGCACGTACATGTCCACTTTTGTATTTCAACTAATGTAATGGGGACGTACAGCTAGCAGAGTATGTGACTTTCACCTATTTATATGGAGGCGAGTTACCCGGCAAGGTGAGTTACTCACCGAGGCGGGACAAACAAGCGCTCTGTTTATACGGAATCGAGTTATGCACTACAGGGTGTCCCAAAAAAAAGTGACACTATAGAAATTATCTCATTGTTCTTAAGCCGCTCTTTAATAAACGCGCGTCATTACACGCCTGGGAATTTAATGAACTTGTATGTTAGAGTTCAACACCGAGGGC